ACACGGGAGCATACGAAAACATTCCCCTTTTCCCTCTTTTACACGTCCTTACTTCACAGTTACATCTGGCTTAAAATTTCCAACCCTTCCCCTCTCCCTTTCCCCGGGCCTCCGCCCGGGATCAACACATGTTTTTGCCCATCCCCCTCCCCCCCTTTTTTCAACCCTCTTACCCGGGCTACTCGAGAATATCCACCCTTTCCTCCGACCTCTGCCCGGGTCAGGACGCCATTGAGTCTGACCCACGCTCTTCCTCGTGACACCCTCAACCCCCATGCTGTCTTCGAGGATTCCCCAGTGAACTTCAACCTCCATGTTTCATTTTGCACAGAGCATGGTTCCTCTCGGGTCCCTGCTGATCTCCTCCTTCTTCTATGCATGTCCCGACACACTCCCCTTTGAAACTCAGTGCAGTCTCCCAAAAGGCGTCCCCCCCGATGGATTTTAATTTTTCCAAAACCCCGCCGTTTTTCCCCCAGCACCCTCACCCCCTGCTGCACAAGAACTTCCCCCCCCATCCCGGAAAAAGTGGCCTTTTCGGGGCTCAACAAAACTCATGGATCCCCATCTTCACCACAATGGTATCTTCAACTTTATCCTCCCAGACAGCCACTCTCTCTTTTCCCCGGGGGACCTCCCGCCGGAACCACACCTGTAACGTTGCTCCCACCTGCACCATCCCCTTCCTCTGTTGCACACCGTCGCCACCTTTTGTCTACCCCCACACAGCCTGCATAAGACAAAAGAATTGGGTCCGGAATTTCCTTTATCAAAACGTAAATGGGGTTGGATTTTCAGAGTCATTTTGGGGAAAATGTGCCCTCTGGGTCCCTGTTTGCCCTGCCCCCCCCACTTTCCCTTTTGGGTTGCCAGATGCACGGCCCATCGCCTCAAACACTTTCCTTATGTCACCCTTTGAAGGGGAATTGCGCAACTTTACCCACGTATATGTCGCCGGGGTTTATCTAGCTTTTCATTTGAATACCAGGTCATGTAACAGGTGCTACCAGGACCCTTTTACCTAAGAAAAAACTTTTGACACAGTAGACCACGACATCCTACTCCACAAACTTTACCATTCGTATAAAGGGCCCTGCGCTTGCTTTTTTCAAATCTTTCCTTACTAATAGTATCAGTATGTCACCCTTAAAGACACGCCCCTAACAAACACGGTCACTTGATACTGGAGTTTCCCGGGGAAATGTCCCTGGTCCCCCCCTCTTCCTCATAACATCAAAGATCTTCCAAACGTACCCAAAACCGAAACCCATTCTCTTTGCTGACGACACGACTTTGTCATCTCTCCCCTAATCTTGCCCCCTCAACACCATTGCTAACGGGAACTGATCAAAAATTTTGACTTTGGGTGACGGCCCAATTAAACTTTGCTTAACCAAAAAACCTACAATTATTTGGTAGCGAGAGGGGTTTCACAAATTAAAAAAGATCGACAAAAATCTAATTACCAGCATAAAGGGCAAAATTTCCCGGGCCCATACCTTGACAACAACCTGAATTTCAGCACCCATATCTAATACCCTACCAAAAAGTATCCAAAACGGTTGGGGTCCTCTCCCGATATGATACTATTTGGGTGCAAAAAGCCCTTCCACACTATACATCATTTTTCCATACCTCACCCTTTTATTTTTGCTTGGGGATAAATGAGCAACACACCTAAAGCCCAAAAATAAACCCAACAAAAAAGCTGCAGTAAGAATAATCACTAAATCCCATCCCTGGCAACACACCCCCCCACTCTTCATAGATCTAAACTTACTCCCTGTTCAGTACATTCACACTTACTACTGTGCAATCTACATCTACAGGGCCTTAAACTCTAATATCAACCTTGACCTAAAACGCTTTCTTGATAGTTGTGACAGAACCCACAGGCATAACACCAGACACAAACATCTCTATGACATTCCCGGTGTCCGACTAAACCTTTACAAAAATTCAATGTATGTCAAAGGCCCTAAAATCTGGAATACCCTACCTGAGAACTCTAGAACTGCAGACACATTCATCACCTTCAAAACTACCATTAGAAAACATCTTATCTCCCTGATACACCCTGTCAACTAACTACACGAATACCACCTGGTGGTTCACACTTACACTCACTGACTCATTTGACCATAAACAGAAATATTAATCTCAATCTTAAAATAATGAATCCTGTGATACTCCAATACTGAAACTATGTACTGTGCCAAAACAAAAGCATTCACATTGCTAAACTCACAATCTAGTATTTAGTCACTTAGCCATAATACCAACTTACCTCATAATTTGTAATATTTTAAAATTAAGAATTAAACTTAAGTCTGCCCGAAATGCCTAGCCATGTTAGGTGTTCTAGTGGTACACTCTGTAATTATTATTTTACTACATGTATACCACACAATAACCAAATTCTGTAAACTCAGCATTGTAATCCTTATAGAGAATAAACTTTGAATTTGAATTTGAATTCCCTGGAACTCAGGCGGGAGAGATACATGATTATATACACCTGGAAAATCCTAGAGGGACTAGTACCGAACTTGCACACGAAAATCACTCACTACGAAAGCAAAAGACTTGGCAGACGATGCAACATCCCCCCAATGAAAAGCAGGGGTGTCACTAGCACGTTAAGAGACCATACAATAAGTGTCAGGGGCCCGAGACTGTTCAACTGCCTCCCAGCATACATAAGGGGGATTACCAACAGACCCCTGGCAGTCTTCAAGCTGGCACTGGACAAGCACCTAAAGTCGGTTCCTGACCAGCCGGGCTGTGGCTCGTACGTTGGTTTGCGTACAGCCAGCAAAAACAGCCTGGTTGAGCAGGCTCTGATCCACCAGGAGGCCTGGTCACAGACCGGGCCGCGGGGGCGTTGACCCCCGGAACTCTCTCCAGGTAAACTCCAGGTACTACCAGATGCTTGAACACCAGGTCACATAACAGGTAGTTACCAGGATCATTGGAACTACCAGATGCTTGAACACCAGGTCACATAACAGGTAATTACCAGGATCATTGGTACTACCAGATGCTTGAACACCAGGTCACATAACAGGTAGTTACCAGGATCATTGGAACTACAGATGCTTGAACACCAGGTCACATAACAGGTAGTTACCAGGATCATTGGAACTACCAGATGCTTGAACACCAGGTCACATAACAGGTAATTACCAGGATCATTGGTACTACCAGATGCTTGAACACCAGGTCACATAACAGGTAGTTACCAGGATCATTGGAACTACCAGATGCTTGAACACCAGGTCACATAACAGGTAGTTACCAGGATCATTGGAACTACCAGATGCTTGAACACCAGGTCACATAACAGGTAATTACCAGGATCATTGGTACTACCAGATGCTTGAACACCAGGTCACATAACAGGTAGTTACCAGGATCATTGGAACTACCAGATGCTTGAACACCAGGTCACATAACAGGTGGTTACCAAGACCATTGGCACTACCAAGTGCCTAAATACCAGGTCAGGTAACAGGTGGCTACCAGGAGCATTGACTCTACCAGGCATTTGAAAAGCAACTGATGTTTAAGATAGATGAGCTGTTTCTTTGCATTCATTCTCAAGGTTGCTACCATCATCTAAATATTCCTTGACCTGACCCTCACCTCACCTTGACCATCAAACTAGTCACTCCCATTATGCAACAACGATTTCCTAATCATTTGTGAGCCAAAAGACAAGAACACAACACACACGATGCCATTTGATGAGGGTAAGAAATTTCTTACTTTCGTTTTTCTTTTTAGGCCACCCTGCCTCGGTGGGATACAGTTAGTTCATTGAAGAAAAAAAATTAATCATATACTGACTCATTTGAGAATCAAAATGTACACCATCAGCTCACTGATCTAGTTATTACGGTTTAGCATGCAAGGTTATGAACTGACTGTAATCTGCATTCTTAGCCTTCCTCAATAGCCTACAATTTATGCTTTTAGCAATACGTGTAACTGTATGCAGTCATCTTGTACCTTCCTCCAGGTTAAGGAAGCCTATGTTCAATCAAGACTATTGCCACTCTTGAACTGCAGTGTACATGAGAGGAGTTGGCTATGAGTGTTAGCATGGGCTATGAATATGTACCTACATAGTACAGTAATAAATTGAACCTCTTCTTTTTTGTAGGTTAGACCAGTATCAAAATTTTGAAGCTGAACAGAGGAGAGTTCAATTTATTGTACGTAAACCTAGGAGGAAGACAATGACAACCACTCTAGGTAAACAATCATTACTGACCACCTGCTACCCTCTATTAGGTCATTAAAAGGAGGGTTTATATGCTTAAGAATCACAGGTGTGTGTTAGAGACACTGGACAATAATCTTTTCAGACTTAGGCAAACACATAATAGCCAGTCACAAGCCTGAAAAGATTATGGTCCAATGTCTCTAACACACCTGTGTTTCTTAAGAATATAAACCCTCCTTTAAATGGCCCAATAGAGGGTAACAGGTGGTCAGTAATGACGATTGTGGTGGATAGAAATGGAACTGTTTTGCCATTATTATAACAATGGACAATTCTATAACCAATAGACCTTGTTGTATTCTCTCTTTTTGTACATTTAAGAAATCCTGCTATATAATCTGTGTGTAGTTCTTAAGTAGTCTTTAAGCACTAGAATTAGTTTGCACAGCACACTAGTGGCTTTCTTTTGTGACTAAACAATATTTTAATACATGTAGAGTACATTATCTGCATACTGCATAAAAGATAAAAATTTTGATTCTGAAGGAGAGAAACTGACTCTCTTCATCAGTGCTGAAGACTGTAAGGAAGAGGATCATTATTATAATCAAAACCAAGCGCTAAACCCACTAGGGCCATATGCAAGAGGAAAATGCAAGGAAAACAAATTGATATATGACTCATTTTTTATTTTCTTTATTTTCTATTATTTGCCAGTCTACTAATGGGGACAGCTACTGAAATGCAACTATAGTAACTGTTTTTATTACAGATCAAGACAGAAAGGTTCATGACCATCAGATTGATTCAGCAGAACCAATGCCAGGCTCTAACTATTTACTGGAGAAGAATGACCGGTTGATTATTGCAACAGAGCCAACACAGCTCTAACCATCGAGTGAAGAAGGAAAACCAGTTATATTTCAACAGAGCCAACAATGAGCTTTAACCATTCACCAAAGAAGCAGACAAACCACAAATGTGTCACAGCTCCAGGGGCAGACTCAACTTCCAGGGAAGAAGAAATTAAAATATAAATACCTACTCACATCAAATACATACAAGTGGACGTTCTTGAATCTCTACTGCTGCTCTCCTCTTCAAGGGGGGCTCCTTCACGTGGTGAAGAGGCTCTTGGTCTGAGGAATTAGACCTGTCGGTCTCCTTCCTCAGACCGAACCTAGTTACCCCCCAATCCCCCCTTCCCTCTCCTATCCTCCCCTTTTTCCTTTCCTCCCCACCCCCTCCCTTTTGCCCTTCCTTTTTGGCCTTTGGGATTTTTTCCCACAGGCACGCTAGTTCCTAGGTAGAGGAAAGGGTACCGGGGTCCATCCCACTCCGTTGAGGTTCTTGGCAGTGGCGTAGTTTGCCGTGGAATCTGGATTGCCTGGGGATGTCCCGATCCCTCTCCGGTATCCCAGAGGGTGGCTTTGGGTATCTTTTGGACGACGGGTGTATCTCTGGAAGCCACCTTTCAGATTCTGGGGGTGGTGGCCGAAGGAGGTATGCTTTGTGGTGGATATCCGGCCGCCCTCTCTTTTGTCCACTGAGGTAGCTCGGCAGATGTGAGGTTGCTATCCCAGATTGCTGGTTTACTGGCATGATGGGTAGGGTATGGCATGGGTTCCATGCTTCATCTGCACTACTTGCGATGCTGAGGTCCTCTTGGGCACGGAGGGAGATTTCTGACCCTTTCATTCCTCCTAGGAACTATCCCTCCCCAGTCCCCCCTTTTTTTATTCTTTTTTTATTTTTATTTTATTTTCTTCTTTCTTTTTTTTTTAAAAACAAAAAGAAAGAAGTAACCTAACCATGGAGTACCCGATCCATGACCCCGCTACCCCCGGGCCCCTTATTGTTACCGTACCCCGTTCTGACCTCGCCTCATCTTTTGGCCACTCTTCGGACATTCCTAAGGCCCCTGTACCTCTTGCTGGTGCTGTTTCCTCACCTGCTTCAGGTACCGGGGCTTCCACTGACTCCTTCGATTTGTCTGACCTCCGCTCTCCTTTGACTATGCTTCCGGCTTCTCCCTCTATGATGCAGCGATTTTCGAATCGCCAGCCCGTCCCACATCAGACCGACTCTGGTCCCACTTCTAAACGTCAACGACAATCTCCTAATGATGTTACTTCGTTACCTTCCCTTTCTACTCGGAAAAGACCGACACGTCATGCACTCCCTCTCCACACTCAGTTTCAGACAACACAATGGACTAAATTCTTTACATTAAGACCGACTTCTTCGACTGCCTATCTTTCCAACCATAGTATTGGCAAAGCGCTCCTATGCCATGTTGGTAGAGATATTTCCTTTCATGCTCTTAAGTGTGGTACGCGCATCATCACAGTCCAGAATTCTACCCAAGCTCATGATCTTTCTCTTATTTCACATATCGATACTATTCCTATCACTATCAAAAAACATCATTCCCTCAATTCTTGTAGTGGTACTGTTATTCTGCCCCCTACCATGTCCAACAGAATTTCCAGACATTGGGCACTGACATTCTCGAACAGCTGGAACTCCAAGATCTCCCAATTCTCAGGGTAGACACTTATGTTCTTCTTGCCTGCAGGCGAAGACGATACCCTTGCAATGTGGTTCATTTAACTTTTGACAGCTGTGAACTCCCATCCTCTTTATGTAGCAGGACATCGGTTACAAGTTCGGAAAGGGGATCCCTACACCGCAGCAGTGTAGGAATTGCTGGCGATTTTGCCACCCAGCAAAATAAATTGCAGATCATAGCCAAATGCCCATCTGTGGTTTCCGATGGCCATTCTAATACATCTTGCAGTCAAACTCCCCTTCCAAGAAGGTTTACCTTATTTGAGGGGCCGTTTATTTTAAAATGGATTGTGCTCCAGATTCCCCTTAGCTGAAAGGCCTTCCACATCCCTCCCAAGGGCGATTCCCCGTGGTTTCTTGATTTTTTTTAGAGCTCCCCGCCATTTCTGGGTCACCTCATCCCCCTTCTGCCCTGCCGTCCTAACTGGGGGTCGTGCCTAAGGGCAGAAAGGTTTCTTATGCTTGGGGTTTCCCTCTCGCTCCAGGGCTGCCCTTTTTCTTAATTCCCGGGTTTTGAGGCCCCCTCTGGTGTCACATTTCTGCACCTCCCTGCGTTGTCAGAGCATGTATTAATTTTTTTTTTCCCTGGGGTAGACCCCCCCTTTAACCCCTTTTGTCTGTCCTCACTTTATGTCCCCCTCACAAACCCCGTACGACAAAACCTCGATGAATGACACCCCCTCCCAAACACCCCCCCCCCAACCCAAAAAATCCTTTCCCCTCCTTTCCTTTTCCCCCTCCACTTTTCCTTCCCTCGCCATTTTTCCCCTTTAACCCTTTTTTTTTTCACCTCCCCCCGAAATGTGCCCCTCCCTTCCCCCCTCCCAATTTTCCCTCTTCTGCCACCTCCCCAGGTTTCTGCCGCTCTGTCCCCTCCCAACTTCCCAGTTCCCTCCACCATTTGGGCCCCCCCCCTACCTTGGTACAGTCCATTACAGCTCCGATCTTTACTCAAGCTCCTCCTTCCATCCCCAATATTGTCTCCCATATGACGTCTCTGAATTCCGAAACACTTGAAGCAATCTCTGAATATATTTCAGAGACCAAACCATCAGTGGACACTGATCCACCCTCTGTTCCTTCTCTTTCCTCTTCTCCATCTGCACAACTCCTTTCTTCACAACGCACCATTCCATCGCTACTTGAACGTTTTCCTTTGCCACCGCATGTGGACTTTTCTAACCCCTCTAGTCCATAGGTACCCTTACCTGTGGATTTCAGGTATCTTTATCATTGCCAATCATGGCCTATTTACAGTGGAATATTCGCGGCCTCAGGGGTATCAGGGTGAGCTTCAGATGTTGCTCTCCCAGTTTTCCCCTGTTAGTGTTTGTTTACAGGAACCAAAATTACACTCTGCCATTATCTGTCCTATCTCAGGCTATAATTTGTTGTATTCTTCAGATCCTTTTCCTGATGGGACCTTTAATGAAAGTGCCCTTCTTCTACACACTGATATTCTGTACCATCAGCTATTTGTTCGTACTTTGCTGCATTACACAGCAGCCCGTATCCACTTGCATAGGTGGTATACACTCTGTTCTTTGTATCTCTCTCCTTCTCGGGCATTATCTATCCCAGATATTGCCTTTCTTGTTTTTCCATTACCACCACCACTTCTGTTACTTGGCGATTTTAATGCCCATCATTTCCTCTATAATTTGTTCATGATTGTAGCCATGTATGAACGTAAGTAACCATTCTTACAGTATTCATTACCTTTGTAACTTGTGAGTTCATTACCTTGTACCTAGTTCAGCCATCCAAACTTTGGGGCCCAGTCCCTGGATCCATTACGTACCTCTGTAATCTGTAAATACCTTTGTAACTTGTCATGATTGTGACTAGACCTACCCGGAGTTCATTACCTTTGTAATTTGTGAGTTCATTACCTTTGTAAATTGTGAATTCATTACCTCTGTAACTTGCTCAGCTATCAAAACTTTGGAGTCCAGTCCCTGGACCAATTATGTACCTCTGTAATCTTTTGACTACCGCCCACAGGATGGGTATGGGGTGCATAATAAACATATTAAACTAACCTCTCGCGGGGTCTCACTGTGATTCCTGTGGCATTCAGTTAGAGGCTTTTCTTGCTACCCACCCCCTCCATGTTTTAAATACAGGTACTCACACCCATTTTGATCCTCAGACTCTCTCTTGCATCGATCTCTCAGTCTGCTCTTCCAACTGGTCTCTTCTCCCGGATTTACATGACAGTGATCATTTCCCAATCATTCTTACTTCCCCTTCATATTCACCACCTCTTTGTAACCCACGCTGGCAATTTGATCAGGCAAATTGGAACCGTTACTCACAACTAACTGTTTTTAGTGAGGTTCCTTCTTCGTCCTCCATTGATGAGCTTTTACACCTCTTCTCGTCCTCCATTTTAACCACAGCTTCTCATTCTATACCCCAAACTTCGGGCAGGCATTCTCAGAAATGCGTGCTTTGGTCTCCTGCTTGTGCTTGTGCAGTACATTTGAAATGTGCTGCGTGGGGCAGGTACCGGTACAATAGAACCATGGAGAGACTTCTTGATTTTAAGCAGAAGTGTGGCCCATCGCTTTGCCGTGTCATCCGTGATGCTAAACGCACTTGCTGGCGAGATTGTCTCCACCATCACCTCTGCTTCCTCTATGAGTGCAGTCTGGAAAAAAGTACGAAAACTGAGTGGTAAATATTCTCCTGACCTGACTTTCCCGTTCCCGGCGGGTTGCCGGTGTTGATATAGTAAAAACCCCTTAGATGTTGCCAATGAAATTTGGGAATCATCTGTCTGTATTTCTCAGGGGCTCCATCTATGCCCCTCGTTTCTTTCCTCAAAGTCTGCCAGAGAGTTAGCACCCTTGGGCTTTTCTTCTCTCAGAGAAGAACAGTATAATGTGCCTTTTACACTTCAGGAACTGGAGGCAACACTCTCAGCTTGCCGATCATCGGCAGCTGGGCCCGACGACATTCATATTCGTATGCTACAACATTTACATCAGTCAGCCCTTGCAGTCCTATTACACCTTTTCAATCTTATTTGGTCACAGGGAGTTCTTCCACAGCTGTGGAAATCTGCCATTGTTCTCCCTTTCCACAAACCGGGTACTATGGGACATGAACCCTCCCACTATCGTCCCATTGCTCTTATGAGTGCAGTTTGCAAAGTGATGGAACGCCTGGTAAATAGACGTTTAGTGTGGTATTTAGAGACACACAACAGTCTCTCCACTCGTCAATATAGCTTTCGTAAGGGCCGTTCTACCATAGACCCCTTACTACACGGGGAAACGTTTTCTAATCTTTGGCCCATGTTTTTGCCCTTTTTTTGCCTTGGGCTATGCCCCTTTAAAAAATTTTTGGGAAACCCCCTCCTTTATTGAAATCCATTTTTAAAAATTTTTAAGCGACTTTTCCCTTTTTTTTTTTGCCCCCCGTTTTAAAAAAACTTGCCCCCCTTGCTAACCCCTTTTTTCCCCTTCTTAAAATTTTCCTTATTTCCCCCATTAGGCACACTTTTTTACCCCCTGGGGGGCCGGGGCCTTTCCCTCTTTACTTTCTCCCCAAAAGCTAATGTTTTTTTGGGACCCCGGGTTTTTTTCTTAAAACCCCCCTTTTTTTCAAACTTTTCTTTCCTATCATCCCTTTGTACCCTATTTTCCCTTCTGCGGTGTGGGTTTCGGGCCTTTTCCCGAGGTTATTGGAAATTTTTTATCTCGGGGGAAACTTTACCCGGTGAATTTAAAAATTGCCTTTTTTTCATACTACCCCCAAAATTCCCAAAATTGCCTTTTTTATAAAATTGTTTGTCCCCAGACCCTCCCTTATCTTTAGAACCCATTACAAAAGGATACATTTACCTTTGGTTTTTTTTGTTTCCCCTTTGGGCTTAGCAAACCTTCCACCTTTTTAAAGAGATTGTTTTGTTTCTCTGCCCCAAATTTATTTTAGGGCAGGAAAGCAGACCTTTTTGGGCCCCCCCTTTTCCCCACCCGTCCCTTTCGCAACTTCGCCTGTTTTCCTTCAAAATTTAATGAGTAAAAAAAACTCACTTTTTATAAAATTCCATTTTGATTTTTTTCTAATTGTAAAAAAAATGTTATTATTTGTTCCCTTTTTTAATTATTATTCTTGTTGGTGACATGGGGGTTTCTAAGTTTGAGGGGGATTTCGCAGTGTTTCCACGTTCGTTTTTTACATTTTGGTTTAGTATTTAGGAAAGCCTTCTTTGTCAATGTTTTGGCTTAGCCTTTGCAATTTTTTCTCATCCCAGTGTTTAAAAAAAAAAGAAACCCTCATTTAGTCCTTTCCCAAATTTCAGGATCCTCCGTTGAATTGGGGGCCTTCTTGTTTTTAAGGGAAGAAAGGCAACACTGCTTGGAAATTACCCCGAAAACAATTCCAAAACCCAAGGCCCTGGGAAAAAATGAAAAAAAAGTAAAAAACCCAAAAAAAAAATTTTAAAAAAAAAAAACCCCCCCCCCAAATAAAAATAAAACTACTTAAAAAAAATGAAAATTTTAAAAATAACTGTTCAAACGTAAAAAAGGGGGTTCGGGGGTGACTTGATTTTTTAAACGGCATTTCTATTTTTGGGGGGGGGGGCGAATGGGGGTTACCCCCCCTTCCTTTTTTCAATTTTAGCCGGCAATGAAAAAATTTTTTTACTTTGGGGGAGGGAAATTAAAAAATAAAAAAAAAAAAAAAAAAAAAAAACCCCCCAAAAAAAAAAAAAAAAAAAAAAAAAAAAAAATTAAAAAAAAAAAAAAAAAAAAAAAAACAAAAAAAAAAAACAAAAAATTTAAAAAAAAACAAAAAAAAAACAAAACAAAAAAAAAAAAAAATAAAAAAAAAAAACCCCAAAAAAAAAAAAAAAAAAAAAAAAAAAAAAAAAAAAAAAAAAAAAAAAAAAAAAAATAAAAAAAAAAAAAAAAAAAAAAAAAAAAGGCGGGAATACGGGAGCTTAAATTACCCAACCTTAAAAAGGGCCCCGAAAGA